GTGACTTCACAAATGAATCCATGAATATCCACACTCTCATATAGATTGTTCCCCAAAGTCTTTGATCTTTGTGGAATTCTGTAACATCCATGAAGAACAGACTGATTACTCACAGACTGTTCTTCATTGGTGTTACAAACTTCAAAAGAACACATAACAAAGAGAAGTGCTGTTGTCTAAAGCCCGATATGCAGTTCTCGAATGAAGTGCTCTTGATGAATGCATTCCATTCTCATTAGCTGATCCCACATCTACTGGAATGTCTGATATGTAATAACTCAACCCATGACCTGGTTTTAGCATCTCAGCTTTATGCACCGTGACCTATCTGTCACCTGGTATTTACAAACTATTGCCAAATCATATAATAATCTATTGCATCTTATTGCATTGTGCTTTAGACCTCAGCCTGTTTACTTCCACTTGGAGAGATCATCCGCTTCCATGAAATTAGTTTCTACATGTATACTGATAACTCCCAGCTCTACCTCTTTGTTGCCAACAGGATTCCAGAACTATTAACTGCCTGTCAGACATCAAGTCCTTGATGAGCCTTATTGTCCTTCCACCAAACATTAACAAAAGTGAAGCCATCTTGTTCCGCAGATAGCATATATATTGCTATCTCAAATGCAAGGAAAGCTATTTTTATTATCAATCTCTTTGGCTGCTTATGAATGTTCAGTTGACCCACAGTTCTACTTCAAATCCTTCATAGGACATAAGTCATTTTCAAAACCATTTTCTTCCATCTTGGAAACATTCCCTGCCTTCATCCCTATTTCACACCCTCTACAGCTGAACCCCATACCCGTACCTTTGCAGCCATACCATTATCACTTTGAGTTTTGACCTCTCTAATGCTCTCTTCACTGGCTTTTCCTAATGGGACCCGCCATAAGCTCAAACTCATCCAAAACTTGTAGCCTGTACCTTCGTCTGTACAAGCTGCACACACCCATTACTACTCTTCTAGATATGTCTCAGTCCACCAGCTAAATGACGATTTTCATACTGACCTTCAAATCATGGTCTTACTCCTCACCATCCATACCATCGTCTACAGCCCTCTTCTCATCTTGTCCTCCACTCTTCTAACTCCTCTCCCTCTGTCCAAGCAGCAGTGATTCAGCCATAATGTCCCCTTTTCTCTGGAAAGATTTCCCCAAACCCATGCCTTTGATCAACACTGTTACATTTTCCTTCCTTTTCTCCATGTTCCATGCTATTATTTATTTGAAGCATCTTGAGACAATTCTATAAGCAGTGATATATAGGTGCATTTGTTGCTGCACCTGGATGGCTGAGGAAAGATACCATAGCCATGCCAGAATCCACTATCACCACATACTGCATGAGTCCATCAGCACCGAATAAAGAAACCCATATCACTTTCTACCACATTAAAGCATTTGTGAACACTTCACAAGTCATTTACTGGCAACTGTTCTGCATTGATAAAGACAGATTGGGCTTAGCTGTGATTACCTCACCATCGAACAGCTCTCTAATACTCATTGTTTATGCTCAATCATGAAAAATGGTCACTTGGGTCAATTGTGGAACAGTACCTAAGCATGAGTTCCAAAGCACCTTCAGATAAAGTGAAATTTTATGAAGATTTTTATATTGGTCGAAAAAATATTATAGGTTCACTACCTGTCAGTGGAGGGTCTTTTAGAAACTAACAAATAAAAAATAATTATTGGGATTCCGTCTTTGTTTATTGAATTATGTCAATTTCATTGTTGATTACTTCACTGGGGAATTGGATGGGAGGAGATGTTAGAGTCTGACATTATTGAGGAAGTGAATTAACATCAGTGAAAGTCATTTACCTCGGATAAGCTTCAGTGAGCTTGTCATTTTAGTTGCTCCTGTTGATTTGACTCTTTCACCTTGTCACATTCACTATCTCTTCAAAACTAGTTCATTCAACTCATCTTTGACACAAAACACTTTGTTTTAGAAAAAAAGTCGCATTCTTTTCCTCACTATTTCCATCTAGTTGTGGGTGTGAACCCTCCCCTTCCCCAACTTGATCTTGGCATAATGCGTATAGTACCATTTTAGTACCAACTTCACTGATACTAACTTAAAGCCAATTGGTATTATTTGATGCAACACACAAATGCCAATCCGGAACAAAATAACCCACTTAAATGGGAATATCTACACTGATCATTTCAGGCATAATTATTGTGCTAAAGTGTGGGAGGAAGAGGGATTCACATCCAAAGCCAGTCTTTAGCAAAACATAGAAATATGCCATGCTTCCTAATATGATAGATTCGGTGTGATTATTTGCACATTGAATCTGTTATGAAACACTGCAGTTTTCACCTCATTGTTTTCAAGCACCTCGCTGACATTGGGTTGATTCTCTTAGCAAAACCCTGTAGTTGTGTTTTGTTTTGTTTTCAAATGTAACTACCTCTGGTTTGCGGGCTTCTTTACACTTTACAAGAAATTCTTAACAACTGAACCAAAGAATGTAACGTATTTTAGAAACAGGAAAAGCCGGTCAGCTCAACAAGCCCATCACATTCCATTCCAGTGGAGAATCAGAAATTGATGTGTGCCATGTAAACTTTTCCTGCTCCTTGAAATTTTTTAAGATCAGCTGATGAAATATCTTATCTCTTGTAAAGAATGTACAGGCCAGTGAATCCATGAATAAAGGGAAATCAAGCCATCTGTAAGGCATTTCTAACACTTTTGAAAAATAAACTGATATTTGTCACATCTCAAAAATTTCAGAAAATGGCTTTGTGCATTTTCAGCTATGATTTTGACATTTGTGAAAATCTGTCAGAGAGAAATGCAGGATACTCTCCAAACAAAAAATTATGGAACTGCTGACAATCTGCTGATATGCTACTCATGGCTTAATGGTAGGTACCAAGGAGGCGTAGAGGAACAAAGAGGGATTCAGATTCAGATTTATAGGACTTTAAAAATAGCAGCACAAGTGGATATGGTCATAAAAAATGCAAGTAAAGTCCTTGGCTTTACGTCCAGAGTACAAAAGTTGAGAAGTAATCCTAAATTTACTTAAAACTTTGGTTAGATGATTTGGAGTACTGCATGCAGTTCTGGTCACATTATTACCATAAGAACATTGCAGCATTCAACACAATTCAGAGTAGATTCACAAGGATGATACCAGTGATGAATGGATACAGCTATCAAGAAAGATTGGGCCGATTGTAGCTTTTCTCTCTAGAGATAATTGAAGGGGACTTGAAAGAGGGTGTAAGATTAGGAAAGGATTTAATAAGGTGGATATTGATAGGCTCTTTCCACTTCTTAGCGAGTCCAGAACGAGCGGGCATGAATACGATAGCTAGTAGTAGATCTAAACATGAATTTTTAGAAATAAATCTTTACACAGAGGGTGGTGACATTGTGGAACACAATGCTGGAAACTATGGTTGAGCAAAAAGCATCAACGCATTTGAGAGTAAATGATGCACACGTGAGGGAGAAGGGAATAGAGTGGTTTAGGAAAGGGGAATAGAGGGGATTAGGAGAAGTGGAGATTAGTTGGACTGAATGACCTGTTTCTGTGTCGTATCAATCTATGTAACCCTATGTATTATTCCAGTCGTAGTTTAAAATGTCACTGTGCAATGGGAGTAAGCAGGAATGGCACACACATCTCCTCATGTAACAGCTATATTGTTATCCAAACTGGACTGGCATAAATTTTCACCAAGGTGCAATGTAACAGTTCTCAGAGATAGTGCTTAAATTGTTCGAATCATACAAATCTCCCAAGAACAAAGAAAATTGACAAAAATCCATTACTCAGGATCTGTTTATAAAAGGAATATTTTGAATATGTTATATAGCTGTGTTGATCCAGTTTTCATTTACACTCCAGCAACTTTCAAAATCCCTGTAAACTATTTCACCTTTAATTTGGCAGAAACATTTGGTTCGATTATTTTAAAATCAATTGAAAAAATAAAGGGCGGGATTGAGTGTGTACAATTTGTTTGGAAATAATTCCACTTTTCCACATTGGGAGATTTGAAAAAACAATGCACACCTTTTTGTAACATTACTTGAAAAATGATGCAACTGGAAGTGGAAATACATTAAGATAAAATCTATTGCATCTTTCAAAATGCATGTCACAAAAGCATTTGAATATGTGTGGATGCTTTGCCTCCCTTCGCTGCGGTTTGTGCCATCCCAGATTTTCATATAAGTGCTTTGTCGGACTGCAGTGTATCAGTAAATCCAATTTTGTGCTTGCACTTACAGAACTCAAGCAATATCCTTAGTGTTCTGTTTATTTAGGGCATTGATATTGAAGGCATGTGTGCAGTTAAGAATTTCTATTACATGTAAAATTACAGAGCAGTTTTTTTTAAATGTACTCAATATCTTTTCTATAACGAAATATATTTGCAATTGGATAATATCCTTCTCATACATTTTCTGATCATAAAATTCAAGGCACAAATTACTTGTTTTTTACTGTGCATGATAAAAGCATTTTACTGGACCTTGTACTATGTGTCACAGTGTTTCATCAACAGTAATAAAAATGCAGCCCCAAATGATGGCAATTTGAAGAAAACTAACCAAGACACAAGCAAAGGAAAAGTCAAAATAAAAGATACTGGTGGTAAACCATATTATGAACCACTAGAAATAACCTTTAACTCTGTTTTAATACCACTCTGCTCACCTACACAGTGCGCAGTCATTACTCTTTACAGTAAATCCTGTAAAGTGCTGTGGGATGTCCTTCCAACGTGAATGACGCTGTATCAAATGTAAGGATTACTATACCAAATCTTGCTTGTATCATTTGGCAAATCCTTCCTATTTTCACTTAATGTATATTTTGTCACGTTCAGTCCAAAAATAAAGATAAATAAATACTACTTCATATTTGAATGTGTGTGTGATGTTTTAAGATTAATGGGTTAATGTTCCACTTTGTAGCATTCTTAATGAGTCTTTGAAATATTTGCTTTAAATACCTCAATGATGGCACCATCAGGCAGCCTAAGGAAATGCCTGTGCAGCTCTCTCAAGCCACTGAGGTGGATAATGTATATAGACACATGAGTGGTGATCTCTCCAAGGCCAGACTCTGATCCAGAGGTTTGATTATGCTCCTGGGGTCCACAGCGACACAAGGAATGTGTGGTGGGTTCATCATTCCAGATGTAGTCGTACACTGCCACCTAGTGAGACAAGGAAGACCCCCCCCCCCACCCATCAGATTTTGATTAGTCACTGTCAAAGACTCATCCTATCTGAACAGCTCACAACAAGCCTGAAAACCACTGCCACATACCTACATCAAATCATTGTTATTTAGTATTTTCTGTCAGTCGTGACAGCTTCAAGCACTCAGTATGCATTCTGTGTGTTTATGTAAAGGAGGGAAGGTGGTGTGATGACTGCAGTAGCTGCTCTAGTTCAAGGCTGGCTTTTCATCTTAATAAATAGTTGGATGTGGAGCATTTTGCATATTAATGAAAACACAGGCTGTGGGATAGAAACACATTCATCGGAACAGTAAAACCCTGCCCAGCTAATTCAGAAAAGTGGTCAATTTTGTTTTTCCGAAATATAATGAACTAACCATGGCTGTGATCCAACATTTTAGCTGGAAAAACTTCAAAAAAGTAATCTTGTGGTAAACGGTGACACTTGAGTGAAAATCATCCCCTTGTACAAATAAGATGATTCAAATGGACACAAGTAGCAACAGGTCCAAATATTGCAACGTTTAGATGGTTTGTTTGAAGTAGATATAGCTCACAATGTTCCTCATGGTTTCTCAAACTACAATTATTTTTAAAGTCACAGTGACCTACAAACACATTTTATATTTTCAAGGATTAACATAAAATGATGCTACTTGTTAGAATTCTCTTTTTTATTGTTTTTTTGCTTCCTCCTCCACTGAAGGTCCGACTCTTCCTTGAGAATGTTTTGATGGGTACTGGCTGGTTAACAGCACCTCGATCACCAGCACATTTTCCATGCAGTGTACCATATAATATACACAACAAGGAATTACTGGGAGCAAGCAACACAATAGAGGCATTCAGACAGCATAGTGTGCAAGGGTGAAGCTCAAAACAGTTAATGCAAATCAAATGGCCCCTGAGTTACTGCTTTCAGTTGCATCCTAAACTGAGTCATAATATTAACATTTAACTGCATAATATTTAATAAATAATAATTCTAAAAGATATAGAGAAAAAGCAGGGCAATGGGGTTGGCTCGGAGACACTACTATGTATTTCTTTATGCAGAGATTACTCAACACAAATGGCTTACGAGGACAAGGTGGTTGAGGGCAGGACCCTAGCCTAATTTAAGAAACAGCTTGATGCTGTAAATGGGAAGATAGCAGGATTGATGTTCTGAAAAGATGAGATGAAATTGGGCAAAGGGCTTACTTCATCTAAGAGCTCCAGCAGAGGTGCTGGCACCACCACAGACACAGTGGGCCTCATTCCTTTAATGCTGTAAACTCTCTCACCATTCTTCTGTGTGAGCCCAGACTGTGGATTTTTTTTTACTCTGATTGCTAACACGTTTTCAATACATAGTTACACTACATTCCTTCAAAAAAATAATTTGGTCACTTAATCCGCGACTGTTTATGGGACACTGCTGTGTGCAATTGGCTGCCATGTTTCGCCCGCAAAACTTACAGTCAATTCACTTCACGGTATATTCTGTGAAATACTTTGAGATGTTGAGAAGATGTAATAAGGCGCTATATCAAATGCAAGGATTATTATTATTATTACCTAATGGTCAATCTGGCCTAGCGCTACACTGGGTGACAGCGAATTTAACCACTAGATCATTTGAGGAGCTACAATTCTCAATTAAATGAAATCTTACTATGAAGTTTTGTTCTGGTTTATTTGTTCAGTGCGAGTCTGAACTTCTTAACTATGCACTTTGTGGTGTATAAATGCCGTCAGCCTCCACATCCGATTGCTAACTGCTGTGTTTTGATTGGCGGGTTGCGCAGAATGGAAGTTAATGCCAATTGTGAATAAGAAGTGGGGTCAGTGTAGTTGATTTCACCTGCTACAGAAAGTAACCTCCGTACATAAATCAGATCTTGATAGTGCACCAAAAGTGAGCCTTGTTAGTGAGCTTTCTTTACTGCTTTAAACTTTAATGTGGTCTTGTTGGGCATTACAGCTTTAAATAGCCATTGGCTTTCTCATGCCATTTATGCTTTAAAAATACTTGTTACTCTATAAGCAGTATGAAACTGAGTGGTTAAACAAGTGCGAGGGAAGATTCCAGGAAAATAAGACCCTACACAAGAAACAGCCAATGTAGGTGCCTGTCTGATAGTGCTGCATTGTCACACACTGGGAAAAGAACCAACATGCAAACCGTGCTTAAGACCCACCCACTGCAGGGTGTTCCTTTCACATGGATCCATTTGAAATTTCATAACAGATTATGAATTTCTGAAATGTATTAAAAACCTCTGTACATTGTGAATTTCATTCAGACACAGAGATACATGTGTTACATACTGGTGCGCATACAGAGCAGCAGGAAACTATCAATGAACATGCTCTGCAAGGGAAAGCAATATGAGAAGGTAATTCCGCGAATGCGAGAGGACTTCTTATTGGATTAATACAGCAGATGGTTCAGAAGACAACAGGTCAGGACAAGCATAGGGATCAGCACTAAGATTAATAGTTTTGTTGATTTAGCACATATTCAAAAACGTCACAATACAGCACGAATATATGTTGCAACAATAGCTTCGAAACTTTCTGATCAGTGTTAAAATTACTCTTTTGTAAAAGTTTTTATTTCTTGTTTTCCTTTTAATAGACTATAATCTCATTATAGTCAATAATAAAATACACTAAAATCATTATATTTCAGTAAGGACAGCAATAAAGAGGCAATCTCAACAGTTCAATAGGCAATCTCATTAAATTCAACCTTTGATAGAAATTGTTGAGTGGCTGCAAAAATGAAATAAATAGAAATTCATTCAAGAAATCTTAGATTTATGCCATCTGGTGTGATTAATCTACAGTAACTAATATAGATACAAACAAGCTTGGAAGACCCATGTACAGAACACCCATGGTCAGTAAAACCTAACTGATGTCAATCTATTCACACACTCTGCAGGTACCTAGGCTTATTCAGGTGTCAGTTTAGCTCAATTGGTATCACTCTGGGACAGAAAATTGTGGGTAGGCTGACACTCCAATACAATGCTTTGAGAGTGCTGCATTATTGCATTATAGTGGAGTCCTGTAGCCCAGTGGTTAGAGCACTCGCTTTGCAAGCGAGAGACCTGAGTTCAATTCCAGGCAGGGCGAAACCTTGGGCAAGTTTCCTTACTCCACACACCTAATAATAATCCCTCCAAAAACAAAACAATAATAAATTGGTCATTTTCAATCTACGACTGTTTGTGGGACATTGCTGTGCGCAATTGGCTGCCGCGTTCGCCCACAAATATACAGTCAATTCACTTTACAGTGTATTCTGTGAAGCGCTTTGGGACGTCCTCCCGACGTGAAAAGCGCTATATCAAAAGCAAGGATTATTATTATTATTATTATTGGAGGTGCCACCCTTCGGATGAGACAATAAACTATGGTTACATCTGTCTGTTCAGGTAGACCTTAAAAATCCCATGGCACTATTAGTAAAGAGTAGGGAGTTTCTCCTGGCTTCCTCATGAACAATCCTCTAGATAAATTTGGTCATTTGTTTCATGGCTGTTTGTGGGACACTGCAGTGTGTTATTGGTTGCAGCATTTGCCTACAAAGTATAGTAAAAACATGTGAAGCACTTTGAGATCTTCTCCCAACATCAAAGGTGCTTTATCAAATCAAAGATTATTATTAATCCCCTCAGCTCCCCACACAGTAACTTACACACTGACTTTTTTCATCTGTTTCTACCTCAACCATGCCATTATGGGGACTCACTAAGCAAGAGGCCATCCACTTCCCCACAGGAGATGAAAATTAGGCCAGTGACCTCAGGCTGCTCTGCTGTCATGCACATCCCTAAGACTGTCTATGGACCAGTAATAATCAAAGACTTGGAGGAGGCATCCAGGCTGGATGTGGTGCATAGCGCTGAAAGACATCCAGAGGCAAATAAAACCAAACTGTAAATAAGGTACTAAATAGAATTGATTCTTACTCTTATTTATATCCGGGGGGGGGGGGGGGGAGGGGGGTTCAATTTGACTTGACTCACAGGAAAAGCATGCCAATGTGAAGTGGAGCTATAGCTCCAATCTCCCTCAAGTTTCGTTGCACAGAAAAATAAGGTTTTTCTCATTTGCTGGTGCTGTGCTCAGGGGCTAAACCATGAGGTAATGAGCATGACTATGACCAACCATTGCTGGAAGGAAGATATGGAAGTCAATCAGCATGTACGTCAGAAGAGTTCAGCTTTCAAGGGTCAGAGAAGCAAGATTTTGGAGACATGCAAATTTTTACTCTTACAATTTCTTTTGGTTCACTTTACATTCCTAACAAAGGAAACTAAAGTTTTGATTAAGTACTGATTTTTTTCAAAAGCAATTTGCTGTCACAACAGTTTGAGACTGGCAAACGTTTCAGCACCAGGTCACGGCAATGGGAGAAGGTGGAGGTGACCATAGGTGCAGTTGAAAAGGAAGTTCTAGAGGTGGGATTTAAAGATAGATAAAGAGGGGGTTAGTGGTAAGCAGGTATACTAACACAGTATTTCAGTTTGACTTGACTCACAGGAAAAGCTTGCCAACGTAAAGCAGAGCATTTGTACCAATATTATCTTGGCCTCAATAGAGAAGGAAAAATACCTTCTCCAAATGACTTATAACTAACTTTGATTCCCACACAACATTCATATTCCATTTTGTTTAAGCTGTTAACTATTCAGGGGGTCTTACCTACTACCATTGACTTTGCCCAGCAAACATCTACTCTTTGTCCCCTGTTCTGTAATCTTTGCAGAACTCGAGGCTAATCACACGATCCTAATGCACAGCTTATATTAGTGATTGTGGTTGTTCCGACAGCTGACAAATTGAGAGACTGTTTCAAGGAAAACTTTTCATTTTGAAGAAAGAGGTCATGTAGGAAAAGTAATTAAATAGATGCCCGCAAACCTTTTACCATAAAATGATGCAGTTGTGCAATGTAGGAGTGCGTTTGCCATAAT